TTTCCACAACTCCATTTTGTTGTGGAGTGTAAGCACAAGAGGTTTGGTGCATAACACCATTTTCAAAACAAAAATAATTCATTTGATTATTAACAAATTCTGTCCCATTATCAGTACGTATTAATTTGATTTTTACACTAAATTGGTTTTGAAGAATGTTAACGAAAGATTTAAAACATCCAAAAACTTCACTTTTTGATTTCAAGAGAAAAAACCCAAGTGGCCCTAGTAAAGTCATTCACTATAATCAGAAAATACTTAAAACCTTCAACAGAAGCAAGTCTATAAGGTCCCCCAAACATCTAGGTGAATCAATTCACCAAGTCTAGTTGATTGGTGTTGACTATGTGGAAAAGACTCTCTTGTTTGTTTTGCCTTATGACAAACATCACAAGGTGGAAGAGATTCATTACCAAGTTTTAATTTTTCTTTTAAAGAACTCAAGGCTTGATCAGCTGGATGACCAAGTCTACTGTGCCAAGTAAGTTTAGAAACACAACACTTAGTTTTATTTGTAATAATAGAATTACCTGAGGGGATACAATCAAGGTAATACAGCCCCCCAGATTCTCTACCATTCTTCACCATCTCCTTTGATATTGAATCCTGAATTTTGCAATTATGTTTAGAAAAAACAATTTCACAACCACTATCTTTACATAGCTTATGTACAGACAAAAGATTAACACTAAAATCAGGAACATCAAAGACATCAAATAAAGTGAGATGTGAAGACAACTGGAGGTTTCCTATTTTGTTTATAGGAGTAGAAGATCCATTTGGATGCTTCACAAGAAGATTAAGACCAGACACACCCACTGCATCTCTAAGTTGAGACTCAGAGGATATCATATGTTGATTTTCCCCTGAGTCTACTATCCAACTTTGAGAGTTATCAGAACTAACAAAAGAATTACAACACTGAAAAATAGATGTACCTGCCATATTAGCAGTAGCAGTAACATCTTCACTAGTAGAGTTCTCATTGATGAGACGAAGGAATTTGTTGTACTGTTCACTAGTGAGGTAATGAGAATCACCATTATGAACACACTCAGAAGGTACATTAGTGATGCTGCTGTTAGATCCAACAGAAGAAGAATTCACAGAAAAAGTCTTATTTTGACTATTATTCTCGTTTCTAGGTTTAAAATCCTTTGGATATCCTATCAACTTATAACATCTATCAATAGAATGACCTTTAAGACCACAATTTTTACATTGTAGTCCCTGATTTCTAGATCTACCCTGACCCTGACCCTGTGCCTTTTTAAAGTCATTGACCTTACTATTAAAAACTGAAACCTGTGATTTCAAAGAACTAGAGGAACCAAGAGAACCATTCTTTTGAAGAGATTCTTCTCTAGAAAGAATAGAAAAAGCAGATTTGACATTTGGTAAAGGTTCCATTAAGAAAATATGACTCTTGACTTGATTATAAACATCATCAAGACCACTAAGAAATTGCATTAGTTTCATGAGTTTAGAGTGATCATTAAGCTTTATAGCAGCCTCACACACATATTCAGTTAAGCTAGTTAAACCATCAAAATCTTTCCACAAAGAATCAAGTTTATTATAATAATCTGATAGAGAGGAGCCATTTTATTTTAAAGTATTAATTTGTTGATGGATATTAAAGATTACAGAACCATCAGCTTTATTATAAGTTTCAAAAAGCTCATTCCAGATATCCTCAGCTTTATCAGAATACACATGACTAGCATATATAGTTTCAGATATTGATCCTAAGATCCAATTACACACAACAGCATTAATACGTTCTCATTTGGAAGCTTTAGATTATTCGGTTTTCCCAAGAGTAAGAGTACCATCTACAAACCCTAGTTTACTTCTAGCTTTTAAACCTCTTGTCATAGCACTACGCCACAGGCGATAGTTTTCATTTCCAGTAAGTTTAAACTATATCTATCCTACAACACATCTAACAGATGTATATACAAAGTAGAACAAAAATGTTGATTACAATAGATGAAAGAACGAGAGAGATATAAAAACAAAACCCTAACCAATTTTGATCTAAACGACTGAATGAATGATCTTGACAGTCTCTCTCTAACTTTATATCACAGCTCACATGAAATGAACCAGATTTGGGTTTTACTTGATCCACAAAAGATCCGCGTGTTTTTTACCTGCAAATTCTTTTTACAACCTTACACAATTCTGTTTATCATAATAAACCCTGTGTTTTATTATTAAGAAAAATAATAAATATATGATTGTATTTAAAATATTTATTATTTTTAACACACAGTTTAATAGAATATATTTATAGGTTAAAAATTACATCTGATGATGTTTGGAGCGTTGGAGGTTGTATTAGATAGTAGTTCACACACTCATCACAATTCACAACTTAAAAAACCCAAATTCACATTATTTGAGAAAACACTAATATAATAAAAACACGTTTAAACTCACATTAAAACTTATAAAAAGTCATACATATACTGCTTAAAACTTATAAAAAATCATTTAATCACAACTAAAACTTATGAAAAATATCATGCATTCACAACTTAATACTTACAAAAAATCATGCATTCACAACTTAGTACTTAGAAAAAAATCATGCATTCATAGCTTAAAACTCTTTCTTGTTGAAACAGACAGATATGTATAAAATCTATGCATTAATAACTTAATAATTATAAAAAAAAACACGTATTCACAGCTTAAGAAACTAATCTAGACTTTCATTTACCAAATTAATAAACCAGTTTAGAAACTTATTTCATATTATTCAAAGTTTAAAAACATACCTTGTTTTCAGTGACGCATTTCATCAAACACCTTCAATGCATCTTATGTCCAGATTTGATCTTGTTCCCTTGCTTCAGATCCATTAGCACTGATGGTAAGCAACAAAAATGGTGGTGCGACGTTAGTTGTGGTAGATGTGGAGTCACATCGACAGTGGTAGCATCAGATCTAAATGTCAGATCTGTTGGCGATGATTTCCGTCAGATCTATTGTTCCAGCGAAGCAAATTGGAGAATTTTTCTTGTATTCCATTAGATATGGACGTTAAAGATCTAGAAACGAACTACATATGGACTTCGGAGTAGAGTGTGACGTTTTTTTGGTGTTCTGATGAAGCACAGTAGCTAGTTTAGGCGGTGGTCGGTGGTGATAAGGTCGACTATCAGATCTAACCAAACCGCACGAGATCTGATATGTTTTGCTTTTTAGAGAGAGAAAGTGAAGTTGAAACAGCTTCTTGACTCCAGATCTGAGACGAGGTGGCGATTGATAGTGACGGAGGAAGGTGGTGGTTATCACCGCTCGCCGGAGCTCATAATCTGGAGGAGAAAATCGAAGATCTGAAGTCGAAAATAGTAGATCTGAAAATGAAAATCGTAGATCCGAAGAGGGGAATCATAGATCTGAAGCTGAAATTGTAGATCTAAAGAGGAAAATCGTAGATCTGAAGTTGAAATTGTAGATCTGGAGCCAACCGGAGCTTGTGGATCTGGTGGCGGTGGTTCGTCGACGGTTCACCGGCAGTAGGAGGCGACAATCAAGGGTAGTGGTTGGTGGCTAACTGGTGGTAATATTTGTGTGTTCTTCAAGTTTGTGATGAGAAAGAAGATAACCATATAAGAATGTATATAGTGTGTGTAGATCTCATATAACAAAAAATGAAAGTTGATTCTTATGTTATATTTTTATAGAGGTTCTTATTTGATCTTTTATATATATATATATATATATATATATATATATATATATATATATATATATATATATATATATATATATATATATATATATATATATATATATATATCCTATCTAAAAACAAGATGAAAGTAGATGCTTATGTTATATTTAATGGAGGTTGATCTTTTATATTTATATATATATATATATATATATATATATATATATATATATATATATATATATATATATATAAACAATGAGATGATACATCACAACCATGATTGGACCTGTCACATCCGATCCATTTCAAGATCCGACTTTAAATGACCCAAACCCGGCCAAGTGCTTGGGGGGCAAGTACGCAACGGTCAACTTTAAAATAGGGTTTCCAAATAAAAAACCCAATTGCGTTACTTCACTTTCTCTCTGTGCAGATTTCCTCTCGCTTACCGAAGGTATGCATCTCTCGTTTCATCTCTGAATCGATATGATAATAAAATCTGCGTATCTCCATCATGTTACTGTGTTTATATCTGGAGGTTGTTGGATCTGCTTTTGTTGTTACATAAAGATGCGTAACGTTTCTAGGGTTTCAACGAGTGAATGAATATTTGGAATAGGTTTAGTGTTTGAGTTCTCAGATGATTTTAGGTGTACTATTATTTGGCTTTCATTTTAGATAAAATGGTTCTGCGTGTTAATGAGCTATGTGATGTGAATAATTTATGTCTGAACTTTTCTGGAACTTGACGAGAGGAATCACTTAGCCATTTAGAGTATTTTTGTTTAAGTTGCTCTTCGTTTTTATCAATTTGTGGGGCTAATTACTCATCAGCATCTTGTCTCAAACTTATATTTACAATCTTCATCTTTAATATCTCCCCTACACCATGATTGATAGTATTCAGACCACAATATATATGTTGTCATTCGGATTGATTTTGTCTACAGAATGATATCTCTGACATATGTGAACACTGATTCCTATCAATATATCTCTTTTCTTGTGCACACTTATTGTATTACAATGGTTCTTTAGAATCTTTTAATCCATGAGATTATGCCCAAATTTAGGCTTTCTGTAGACTGCTAAATTTTTTGCCAATTGAGAGGATATTCGCTTCCATTAAAGTTTCTAGGGACATAGAACAGGCTAAAACAAAGATTCTTTCTTTGATTCCATCATACAAAGCTTTTGCTTCTATCAATATCTATTTTTTTTTCTAACAATAACATTACAATCTTTTTTCAGGTTCCAAGGTTCATTGTTCCATTCATCTTAATCCTTCTTGTTCCACCACACAACCACCATGTCCGGGAAAGAAGAAAAGGGCGGCACACAGGACGCCGCCGAGAGAATCAAGGCGGCAACACTCTCGGCCGCCAAGGGCCTCAGCCGATCACAGGCGGAACGTGCCGCCGCCGCCGCCGCCCGAAACGTGAACGCCTACGGGCAGAAAGAAGAAGGGCCAAGCAGATGGCAAGAAAGGAAAGAAGCAAAGAGACAAATGTATCTCATGAGTACTGAAAAACAAGTAAGACTTGGTGAAAGAAAAGACCTCAAAACCTCAACACCAACTGCTACTAATTGCCAAAAGTGTTTTCAACCGGGGCATTGGACTTATGAATGCAAAAACGAACGTGTTTACATTTCCCGACCTTCTAGAACACAACAATTGAAAAATCCCAAGTTGAGAATGCGGGCCCCAGTTTCGTATGATTTGGATAATCCGGAGGTTGGGAGAGAGGAGAAAGGGGATGGGAATGTTAAGAAGAAGAAGAGTAGGGGTGGAGATAAGAGTAAGAAAAGGAAGCATGGGTCGAGGTCGGAATCGGAATCGGAATCTGGGAGTGATAGTGAGGCTTCGGTGTTTAGTGAGTCGGAATCGGGTACAGGGTCGGGTTCTTCTGAAGGGAGCGATTCGAGTGATAGTTCGGATTCTGATTCCGGGGAAGATAGGAGGAGGAGAAGTAAGAAGGACAAGAAGAAGAAAGTGAAAGAGCCGAGGAAAAGGAAACACCGTCGGCATAGTAGTTCGGATTCGTCGGAGTCGGAATCAGAGTCGGAGTCGGAATCGGAATCTGATTCCGATGATAGTAGAAGTCGGAGGAAGGGCAAAAGGCATAGCAGAAAGCATTGAAAGCATTCAAGAGAGGTTTTCAAAGTCCAGCAAATTCAGGTTGATGAAGCGTTTAGATTCTGGATGGGGCTTAAAAGTAAAAACCATTGGTTTTCAGTATTTTGCTATATTGTTGATAGGAACAAGTGCATGCATGCATGGTTTGAAGTTTTTGTTCTTTAATTTGTATGATACAGTAATATACTTTTAGAATTATGAATGAGTTGTTGTTTAGTCACAACACTGTGTCTTAGTGGGAAACTTCACAAAAACCGTTTACTTTTGAGGAATAAGCATATTTGTATTTTTTTTGCCAATACAACCATTCAAGTTTAAGCAACTTCTCCAAATCAATGACAGTGAACACTTTCTTAATTATTAAGGATCAAATCATACATTTAACCAACCAAATAAGTCCATTTGATTTTTCACTCAAAATACTTTAAAATCCCAATAATCATGCTACATGATGCATCATCTTGAACAGTGAACACTAAGGTCATCTATAATCAATTTGATTCATAAGAGCTTAATTGATTTCCCCTTTAACCCTTAAAAACTTCATAGATTGTGGTATTGACAATTTTTTATTCAGTTTTATCTTATAACCTCTATAACTCATTTTACATTGTCCCACAATTGAAGCTTAACGGTTAAAATATGAAATCTCATACAAAAAGCTCAACTTCAAGCCTTATGATATACCCATAAATCAAAGGTACTCATTTTAAGAGTTTGGGTTTTACAATGTATTCATTATCGAAACAATATATTTTTTTTCATTTACTTTAGTTTTTTCTCGTTTATTACAGTGGTAGGGATAAGTATTATAGTCAGGAACATCGAGTGAACTAGAGAAAAGCATTTGTGGTTGATGATGAATTAGATGACTGTGATATTGATGAACAAACAAGTTCTCAACATTTAAAGGTTCTTTTTGATGCATTCCTTTATGATTTTTGCCATGTCCGTGTTTACAAGGAGAGACAGAATAATGATGAGGAAGCCTTTAAAGAAGAAAGCGTGTCTGGTAATTAAAGGGAAATGAAGGAGGATGTTGATGAAGAACTTAGCAAATATGGCGTTCATGACCTGTCTGTTCATTGGAAGACGATGAAACCACATCTTAGGGAAATATTTTCTAGTCTAGAGGAATTAAGGTTCTTCCTTACAAACTATGCTTTTAGCAATGTATATCTAATTAAGGTCACCAAATCCTTTGCTCAAAGGCTTCAAGCCAAATGTGGTTTTTGATAGGTTTTCTACGTCTAAATACATGATATTGCGCGACGGAAACAAACAAATATTCCTATGTGTTCATGCAACATGAGATTTTTTTTACCTTCGTTGATTCAAATTATTGGTTTTTTGGATTAGCTTTGATACCCGCATTTTTGATTGAAAAAGGTGGATAACATAGAAATAGGGGATGATCTAGCATTTTTTTTCCATTTCTTTATTTCTTTTTTTTTTATCGGATTTTTTTTTTTCATATGATTTAGTCATTTTTATGTTCCAAATAGATTATAATTTTTTTATGCACTTTATTTCATCATTTTGTTTTATTCTGATTGTATCTATGTACCCATTTTCTATTTGGGTTGCTAACTGAAGGGTAGAGTACTCGGCTAAAGAAAATATAGAAAAAACATACATCTTTTTGTAGTCAATAATGTCCTTTCTTGAGGGCTTGTTATTTCCACATTTTTTGGATGAAAAGACTCAAACCATAATCCCTATTTTGGTTCACACCCAAGTGCACCAAAGAGAAGAACAAAGAAAACTAGGAGAGAGGCTAGATCAAAACTTCAATCACCTCAAATAGAGAAGAGGGGAGGAGGACAAAATGTTCAAGCCTTGGAATGAGCAAAAGGGTTTGATCCCTAGCACCCTATTTCTAGGCTATAGTTGTTTAGCCCCAAAGCATCTCCAAACCCATGTGGGATTGCCTAAAATTCTTCCACATCCTTATCTTTTAGGGATTCTAGAATATTTCAATTAACTAACTTTTAATTTACCAATATTCAACTCCTTGAATTAACTAACTCTTAATTAATTCCAAAATAGTTTCTAATTAATTTATTAAGCCATGCGAAATTAATAAACTAATTTCTCCTAAATTCTTTTATGCTCAATTGGGTCATGAAGACAACCCCAAAAGATTTTGTTATTATTAGAAATGTCACCAATAGTTAATCATATTGGACACTCTTTCTGTTAACGTTACCACGAACAGCCAAGTTAAATGTAACGGAAAACATAACAGAGATGTTATTGTGCCAGAACCTTGGCCAAGACCCGGTCTCGGCCTAAGTGAACCAACACCAGGGCGACAGTTCACTTTCCTTCACGAGGAAAGAATATTCCCCGTGATCCTCTCATTCACTCACGACCAATTAGGACGTGACAAGAGGCTTAGGTGACGCCCAAAATTGACGTCACCAGGCGGTTAGTTAACGTGGGCGTGATCCTCCCAGTCAGAGGAGGCCACGTCTCATGCTCATTAGACGAGGTCCCCATGATCCGTTAGAAGCAGGTATAAAAGGATCGTTTCCGCCTCAAGGAAGGGATCCATCTTCTCTCTCATTGAATTTACCCTAATACTCTCTCGGAAAACTAACTTGATCGTCAGAGCGACGTCCCGGGAGAACACCCGTATGTCCTTTAACGATTCTTTTGTGTTGTGTTCTCAGGAAAAGCCTCCAGGACAGATCCATCATCCAACATCCAAACCCCTGTTGAACATGTCACAACATTTGGTGCCATCTGGATATATCCTCAGAGTGATACAACCAATTAACGACACTGGTTCTTCGCAAAACGACGATCTAAGCCCAACAGTACCTACGCCTGCAGTAGAAGATCTGTTTCAAATACCGTTGGCGATAACCAGAGGACACCACCGCGACTATAAGACACAGACTCCAATCCAGGTGCTCATGGCATAGATCTCACCGGTTACGGGGCCAGTACTCCAGAGCAGTTTCCGACAATTGTCATCGGACGGTTCATCACCTCAGACGGTGATATCACATCTCGATTTTCTGCATGACGGCATGGAAGTACTTACTATCTCTAATCCTCGTAAGAGAAACACATCTCATCAGGCGGAGGACGAGATAGAGGTACTCTCGAGAAATCTACTCAATATCAGTTTTTCAAGTAGAGATCCCAGACCACTGAACTGGGATCCGCAAGACCCACTCCTCATATTTGGATTCATTCGTAACACGAAAATCCATCCAATATACATCGACAATGGTAGTTGCTCTGATATACTCTATGAGCATTGTTTTAGGCAACTACCAGATGGGTGGAAGGAAGGGCTATGGCCCCCAACCGGAGGACCATTAGCGGGGTTCACCGGTCACAGTCTGTGGCCAATAGGCACTATTCGGCTGCCCTTAACGTTGGTCAGTCACGATGAGAGGGATCGAATCACAAGAACATTTGAATTCTCTGTGATCCGGTTTCCAGCAGAACTCAATATTTTGCTGGACGGTCGACAATCTCCTCACTACACCTCGTGCCATCGACGATCCATGGCATAGTTAAATTCATCAGACGCCAAGGATCAGTGACGATCCTCGCCACAAAGACCAGGGCACAACATTACCACCAGATCACAGCCGCTCCCGAATTGGTGCGAGCCCCAAAGAAGTCGAAGGAGGGAGGTTCAACCAAACAACATCAAATAAACATGGAATATCTAGAACAAGTCGTGCGAATTGGCGCTCACCTATCAGGCGAGACCAGGGCACGACTGGTAGCACTTTTGAAGCAATACTCCACCATTTTTGCCTGGAAACCAACAGACCTGATAGGCGTGGATCGACAGGTTATAGAGCACAACCTCAATATCGCGCCTGGAAGCAACCCTGTAAAGCAAAAGAAGAGGGGACAGGCGGCAGACCGGAACAGGGCTATAAACGCTGAAGTGGCCGACCTGGTGAATGCCCGGGAAGTAATGTTCCCATCATGGATAGCAAATCCTGTCATGGTAAAGAAATCCAACGGATCGTGGCGGATGTGCATTGATTACTCAGATCTCAATAACGCTTGTCCAAAGGATTGCTACCCTCTCCCGGAGATCGATCAGAAAGTCCAATCGCTTGACGGTTTTCAACTTAAATGCTTCCTCGACACGTACAAGGGTTATCATCAGGTACGGATAAAGCGAGAGGATGAGGCGAAAACTACCTTCCATACCGAGAGGGGTACCTTCTGCTACCAAAAAATGCCTTTCGAACTCAAAAACGCGGGCACTACATACCAAAGGCTAATGGATAAGATATTCGCCGACCAAATTGGTAGGAATATCGAGGTCTATGTCGACGACATCGTAGTTCAGATCTGCGATGAAGAAACATTGCTCCATGATGTGGAGGAAACCTTCCAAATGCTAGCTAAAGCGCAAACAAAGCTCAACCCAACTAAGTGCATTTTTGGAGTAGAGGAGGGGCAATTCCTTGGGTATCAAGTATCCAAGGAAGGAATTTTGCCCAATCCCACCAAAATAAAGGAGTTCCTTGAGTCGAAAACTCCCCACAATCTCAAGGGGTACAGGAAATCAACGGTAGGTTGACGGCACTGGGAAGGTTCATTGTCAAATCTGCAGAAAAGGCACTTCCTCTATACCAAACACTCAATGGATGCCTAGACAAAAAGCAGTTCAAATGGACAGAAAAAGAAGATGCGGCATTACAACAACTGAAAGATGCCTTACACCAACTACCGAACCTCGCCTGCCCGTTACCAGGGGAAACGCTGCATATGTACTTAGCAGCTTCTGAAGAACCTATCTCGTCTGTGTTGGAGATGGAGAGGGAAGGCAAGCAGATATCCATACATTTTGTTAGTAGAGCCCTACAAGGGAAGAGGTCAATTACCCGACCTTAGAGAAGTTGGTCCTAGCCCTGGTGTATGCTTCCAGATGGCTACGGAGATATTTTCAAGCCCACAAAGTGGATGTTCTCACTAGTTACCTGATAAAGCAAGTTCTACTGAGGCCGAAAAAGTCT